CACATTATTGCCATTTCCTGGTGTTTTTAAATCAAGAAAACGAAATAATGTTTCCTAGTTTTAATATCTGTGAAGTAAACGAGTACGGCTGTGGCAACATCAACAATCACAGCAACGACAAAAAAAAAAAACTTAGTAGCAAACACGGATAATGTCCTGTCGCATGGCCTTTGCAGATCTAAGGATTAGTGTTCTATATGTTTCAAATACCCGTTATCGACAACTGTGTTGAAATTCAATTTCTTCAATCGTTTTCTATCAAAAAAGGCTTACTCCCTCTGTTATTGTATCTCAGATCAATATTTATTAAAAATAAACTGCTCTATCAACAGATATCCAAGCTCCCAGCATCACGTGTCCATCTGATATGGATAATATCCCCACAAGACCTGGCCAATCATATGCGATTGTGACTTGGCAGATACCAGTGCCCACCGACAACTCTAACGAGTCCCTGACGCTTACCGGTTTACGACCTCCACAAAAGCTGGATGTTGGTAAAAAGTACATTACATACAAAGCGACCGACTCATCTGGTCTGAGTACAAGCTGTGTTTTCTTCATTCATGTCAAAGGTACATATTGCAATCATCTGTGATATCAAACAGTAACATTCATGCAACATCATGATCATCATGATCATCACCATCGTCATAAACATCATCATCATCGTTTAATTGCCTTTAAAGAAGCGGTATGTATTTATGTACAGTAATTTAGGTAGGACGATTAGACCTCCAGGAAAACAAACAAATAAACAAACAAACAAACAAACAAAAATAAACAAAAAATCATGAGTCAATCGTTTCTTTTTTTTTTTTTTTTCTTAAAAATGCACAAGCATGTTGAGCAAGTGTCCAAATTTTAGGACCTTGGTAGAGTGTCGTGAATTAGTTAATATTTATACCACAGTGATGCGATCGACAAAAAAACAAAAACAAAATCAAAACAAAAACAAAAACAAAAAAAACACATCTGAGATCCTGACGGAATTCAAACGTTCTTTCAAATACTGGTCGGGTGCTCTAGCCATTGAGCTTGGAGAGACTCAAGGGTAGCCTGGCTATTTATCAAGGTCATATGGTACAAGCGTCCTGCTCACTTCTAGAATCAGCTTTGTCAAAAGTATTACATGTTTGATTATTAATGAAATATCCTGAACTCGCTGGATAAATGATTGAAATAAAATGATCATCTTGTAAGGAAACATAAAGCATTATTATTATTATTATTATTATTATTATTATTATTATTATTTCAATAAAAACAGATCTTGAGCCGCCTAAGATTGCAAACTGTCCTGATGACATCTATAAGACGTCTAAAGAGAAATGGACGAAGATATTTTTCCCAGGAGTCATCATCACAGATAATGTTGGCGTTCACTTATTTACAACAAGCAGACCAAATGGAAGCGAGTTCACTTGGGGAGAACACAACATGACTTATACGGCATCAGATAAAGCAGGAAATACCGCCCAGTGCCATTTCCAAGTAATCATTGGTGGTATGTAAAGCCTTTTAGGGTAGCAATATGTGTTTACATGTTTTTCCACAATTAATCAAAACTATAACAAAATTCTCGAACGTGATTGGCTATCAGCAGCCCGATTTAAGCATTAATTGGACAGTGTATGCGTCATTTTGCGCGCGCTGTTGCGGTGCACTTTGTTGAGTAAACTGTGTGTTTTTCAGCATTCATAACGACGTTTAATCGCTCAGCGTTCGATCGATGGTTTGTTCGTTTCTTGAATTTTTTCATAGTTTTGATTAATTGGTAACAGGGCTTGGCGTCTTTCAATGCGGTCTGTAATCATACTCGTGATAAATAGATTTTGTTAATCACTCGTATGATTACAGACCGAATTGGACTCCCACAGGAAACTTTTTGCAATTCCCACACTGGGAATATGTTATTGAGAAATGATTGGGACAAGATTTTCCACTATTGGGAAAGGAATGGTAAAAGTTTGGGTTACTTTTTCCCAATGCTAGGTTCAGTTTGGGATATAATGCAATAGTGATTTTAAAATACCAACATTGGGAATGAAATGGGTTTATCAGTCCCAAAATATGGGAAAATAATGGGGTTATTTTTCCCAAGTTGGGAAATGTTCCAACATGTTATTCCCAATTTTGGGAAATTAAAGAGACAAGAAATCCCTGCATTGGGAAAGGATTGGTTAAAGTTTGGGTCACTTTTTCCCATTGCTGGGTTCAGTTTGGGAAAAAAATGCATACTTATTTTAAAATACCAACCTCAGGAATCCAATGGGTTTTTTTCCCCAAGATAAGGGAAAATAATGAGGCTATTTTTTTCCCAAGCTGGGAAACATTCCAATACATTACTCCCAATTTTGGGAAATTAAAGGGATAAGTTTAGCTTTGTAATTCCCAATATCAGGTTTTGTTTGGGAAGAAATACTCCTAGGGGCTTGGTGTTACAGAACCGGGATTAGCTCTGGATGTATGGGCCGTTTGGCCTGTCAAAGACTTTTTTTTCATAGAAACAGTTCTTATACATGTATACATGTATTATATATGTAACTTTGGTGTACAATGTGTACATTCTGTCATGGGAAATGAAAATTTTTGGAAACGTTCAGCTTTCCAATATCCAATATCTTTGCAGTCTTTACCCAGTTGTTTTGGCAGTCTGTCATCTTTAAATTCATCAGTTCATGGAAAGTTACCAATTTGTTTATCAAGCTCTGTTTTGTCAAGCATCTCCAAATTTAAAGCTTGAACCAACTGATTCTTGACCACATTCAGGGGAATTGTATGATAGACATCGTAAACAAGATGATTTAAAATGTCAAATCCATAAAGAGGGTTAAGGTACTTGTGAAAAATGGACAGCCCGGTAAGGCCTTTTTCTGATGACAATCTTTTTCGAACACTTGACCTTGTTTCATTCTCAATATCAAAAATATTTTCAAGCTCTGATTCAATGACTCTCTGTCCCCAAGGGTGTCTAGAATGCAGGCGATTTTGTCCATAATAATAGTGTGTATTTGTGTCATTCTCCAAATGTTGACCTGCCAGTTTACATCTGCGACACGCACATTTACCTTGGTTCAGAAACTTCCCTGTTTCACATTGACCAGGATGATCAGCTGTCCACACCAGTAAAAGCAATCGCACAGTTTCTTCATTAGATTGTTCAAAACCAGGAATTGTGATCCCTTTAGGGTACTGTACTTTGTAACCTTCAATAAATCCTTCACACAGATCATTCATTAATGGCTGCCAGAAAGGATCTAATCCATTTGGTAAATTAAGAACTTGAAAGAGAGGAACAAATCCTACAACATAAACCTCATTCACATGATTTCTAGCAGCCTTCTGCATGTTGGCAACAGTAACTTCAAAAGATCCCGATCCTCTGTAACTTGTGCCAAATGGCTGCCAACCATCAAAGTGTCCTATAAGTGCCAAATTCAATGGAGAACCCTTTGCCATTTTTATGGAGTGTTCAAGCTGTTCAAAACAAACAGGGCACTCAACAATTTTGAGGTTGTTATTGCCAACCTGATTTGGTGAGCTAACAAGATGGTCTGGTTATATGGGAATGCCACAGTGTAAACAGAGAGTTGGCAAAGCCCATGTAACTCTCTGGGTTCGAAACCACTGGAGTTCTGACCATCGCTTCCCATCCCATATCTCTTTTTTTAATTGGCAGTCTTCAGAATTATCCAGCCAGTGATCTTTCTCAAGCCAATGTGAAAGCATTCTTTTACACATAGTTTTATTTCTGAACCAGTTCTTCACTTTATTCTCGAGACCCAAGTACAAGTATTTTATGTAACCTACCTTACCACAGTAAGGACACTTGTCATGTTTGCTTTCCATGATGCTGAATGTGCCATGGTAGACAGTTTTCTTGGTAGTCTTTCCATCTCTTGTGAATTCGATTTCATCAAAACAGAAACAAACAAAGTACTCCTTAACGTCTTCATACCCTTCCTCTTTTAAAAGCAATTGCACGTCACTCCAACGTTTGGGCCATAAGGTTGTCAAAATCTCGACATCCATATCCTCGCTCAAAGAAGAAAAAAATAGTTCCCTTCCGTACTCCAAAACGTCTTCGAACGTTCTTATCGATGCTCCACTTTCATGCGTTATTCTAAGAGCATCCAGTACTGCCTTAACAACAAAATTTTTCAAAGGATTCGTTTCAACTGTTTCAGTTATGTCGGAGCCATCAGCATCATCAAATGTACAGCGTTCCGGTGGTCGTTCCGGGTTAGGGTCAACAACAGCTTCATCGTCTTCTCCCGATAATTGATCACATTCATCATCTTCAGGCAAATTATCGTGAAATATGTGCAAGTCTAGATCCGATTGCATAGAGCGATTCGCGAATTCACATGCTCCTTTCGAGTGTCGAAGCTCTGTTTTTCGGTCAGTTGCTCTTCCAATACATTCGAGGCAAGGACAGTGAACATGTCTATACGGCTTTTCGCTACATTCACAGCCTGAAATTTCATCTCTCGACCAGGTAAAATTTGCTTTCTCAGGAAAGCCACTGGTTGCCATTTTCAAGGCTAACAATACAAGAATCGCGGTTAAACAAATTCAGCGCCAAAATGACAACTGAGCCAATCGCGAGGGACGAAGCACAGGCCCTCGTTGTTTCCGGTCAGCAAAAATCATCAACTCAGGCTGCGCTGACATAGCTCTGAAAGTAAGCCAATCATAATGCAAGATACATTTCGGCGCCAACAAATCGCGCCAAAACGCTGGTTTCCTCCCATTTTGTCCTTTGTCAGGTTTTTCGTTGGAGTTTTTATCGTTTTCTTCATTCAAAATGGAAAATTCTGACCACCATACAAGTAATGACAGTAATGGAAGTGCAGCGGATAATGATGGCCACATTTTTGGCGAGGAATTAGCACATAAAAAAGAAGATAATGGAGAGATAGTATCAAAATTGAAGGAGCTCTTCGGAGGGGAAACAGTCACTGTATTTGAAGGTAAGCTTTCAATTTGCTTCGTTGTCAGCTGCCGATAAAACGTACAGTATG